TTAAGAGAATAGTGCTACGACCATCAGGAACTGGAAACACTGGTCAAAATCGAATTTTTTATCTTAATTATTATCAACTAAAAACTCTATTTTCAAATGTTTAGCACATTTGTTTGACTTTTTTTTATAAGAAGATGCTCGGATTTCAGAGTTATTAATGATTTTCTAGAACTATCAGCTATGCTATCGAACTGTGACCAATAATTTATTCATTTTAAAAATCTTAAAATTTGTCTCGCACTTTTTTTCTTAGTTCGTCTGATTGTCAATGTCTCCTTTGATTGAAATTTGTGTCATCGATTTTTAACTTTTTTTTTAATCCTACAAAAAAAAGATAGTAATGATAGAGAAAAAGATTCATTAAAGTTTTTGCTTTATATATTTAAAAAATGTTAAAAGAATAACAGAAAAAAATAATCTATAAATATTCATGAATTTCTTTCATTGATAAATTTTGTTTTGTTTTTCTTTTTAATGTGGTGTTTTCGGACGATTTTTTAAATATTCTGCAATTCTTGGTTGTTTTTCAACTTCAGCACGATTTTGTTTTAACCATGGATAATTATTTAAACAATTTTCATCTATTTCAAGAAGAGTTTCTAACATATCATAGAATAATAAATCTGCCCATGTTAAATGATTTCCAACAAAGAATGGACCATCATTACTATATAATTTACCTAAAACATTCAAATTTTGTAAATATTTAGGTACTTTTTCATCAAAGAATTTTTTCATAAGTTCTTGTTTTTTTGTTTTATCTTTTTCAAAACGAGGTGTAATAAATTTTCTTAATAAATCATTAATTGTATCAGCAACAGCATCGACTTTAGCTTGTTCAAAATTATCTCTACCAGCCAAATTAAATTGTTTAGCAAGAAAACGTGCAATAGATAAAGATTGTGGTAATTTTATACCTTCAAATTCTAGAACAGGCATTTGACGTAATGGCATTTTAGCTTTATATGATGGCCATTCAGAACCTTCATAACGAATATCTTCATATTTTTGACCAGCAATAGCAAATATTAAACGAGAAACTTCAGCACGACCACGTCCATTAAAAAAATAAAGTTTGTATCGTGACATAAATATTGATTCGACTATCGAAGAAAGAGAACGAAAATAGTTCGAATGGAGTATTTACATAAGATAAAAGAAAGTATTGCATATGTGCCCCTGGATATTTCTTTTTTTTTACTTCGTCATTATTACACGAATAGTTAGAAGAAGAAAAGAAATAGTAATGATAATATAAATTTTTTCTCAGTGAAAAACATGCCGCCTTTTACATCTGAAGATAGATGTGTGTTTTATCGAAATATGTAATGAAATTTGAATTTAAAACTATTATAGTGTGATGTTTTCTTTCCTTCACTTTCGAGTTTCTTTGTTTTTCTTTACAAATGTTCGCTTCTTTTGATATTTTTCCTAGTTTGTTCGTATATATATATATATATATATCAGGACCATTTGGAAAATAAAGAGATACACATTCGTTATCGATCAGTTAGATCGAATCTCTCGTTAACAACAACAGAAGTCGAAATGAATAAAAACTTGTTGAATTCGTTTTTAAATAACTTTAATTAGATTTAGATGTCAATAAAAGTTATAGATAAATTATCATAAAAGAAAAATTCTTGATTCTATTCAATCTATCATTACTCGAATACAATTAATCGTTTAGTCAGAATTAGATGTAGGTGTGGATAGTTGCGTTAGTGTTTAAGTCTTAGTCTAAACGACGCCTACACTCATATTCTACTTGTCTTAGCATGAACTATGTGTATAACAGAAGTTTTCATAGAATCATTACGTTTTTATCATCTCTATTTGATCAACTTACTCATTTGCCACCAGAGATGGGAACAGTTGGCATTTTTGCCAAACCGAACCGGCCGTAGCCGAAAAAATCTCTAACCGAATCGACTGTAGCCGACCGAATTTTTTAAAATTTCTAACCGAACTGACCGCAACCGAAAAACTCTCTAACCGAACCGAACGTAACCGACCGAATATTTAAAAATTTCTAATCGAACCGACCGTAACCGACCGAATCTCAAAAATTTCGTAATCGAACCTAGTTTAGAGAAAGCGAAGTTTAGCTTTTGTTAATTAGGGTATTAGTGCTTTATAAATTAGCAACATCAAATCAAACAATAGCAACTACCAATAATGAACATTTAGAGAAAGCAAAGAATAAGGCTTATTTATTGGATCTTCTTTCTGTATTGTAACTTCCTTACCTCTCAGGACAAATTTTAAAAAAATATGTGAGATAATACGCGTTACGAGCAACAGCTAATTGTTGTACGATTATATTCTTTTTTCTTCTTATGTTTCACTGAAAAAGACCATTGAACTCAAATGAAACGATTATATCGATTCTCTCTAACCGAACCGAATATAACCGATCGAATATTTTAAAATTTCTAACCGAACCGAACGTAACCGACCGAAGTTTTTCAAAATCTCCAACCGAATCGATTTCGGTCGGTCGGCTCGGTTCGGTTAAAAACCGAACCGATCCCATCTCTGTTTACCACTAAAATTAAAATATATACTCATTAGTGTCTGATTGATAGGTCGTACTAAGTGACACTCTTCAGCAATTGTGTATCAATCATCATAAACCGTGTGCAATCTACATTGTTTATCTATTATTTAATATTATGAACGATTTTTGAAAGAAAAAAAAAACAATCCTTAATCCATAATTTGAGGCTTCATTTACTAATTGACAACGATCGACAGGGATTATTTAAGCAAATCCTCATCTTTTCAGTAGTGCTTGTATTATTTATTCTTTCTTGTATATATTTACAAATGTATGTAGAAAATATTTTATTCCTATAAAGAATTTATAGACATATTCTTCTCTACCTAGGTCTTGTTATATGGCAGTTAATGGAGTAAAATTATTGCCACACGTTAATGATTTATACATTGAAATTTGTGATAGAAAAAAATTGTCTTTCAGATCTCAGTAATTATTGAAGTTTCTTTCGATTTCTCCAACCTACATTCAAGTATATAAAACATAATAATCTTTTTATTTAATAAAATTATTTACATTTTCATTTAATTATATTACTGCATATGTGATCTTATTATTAAAATTCTTTGTCAGTAGAAAAATGGATAAGAACCGTGTTTCAACTAATCATAGTTTATTGATTGTATTTCGTATATATAAATGCATAAAAACACATAAAAATCATCATTTCTTTATACTAAATCGGTTAAAACATGTTTATATAAGAACAAACCCATTTTAGCTAGTTCAATCTTTTGGTTCATCATACGAACCAGTTATCGAGCATTTTTTCTCTACTTTTCCATCTAAACGCGTCGACTTATCTCCATGGATGGGAATGGCGAAATATATCTGGCAAGAAAGTTGGATCCATCCTCAAAAACAGTGACTGTATGACATATCGATATTCTCTATATTATGGATTTTTGGATGAGTAAATTTGTTTCATTTAGTTTGTCACATAAAGACAGAAAAAATGACAAAATAAAGTAAGATGAGAAAGTAATGAATGAAACTATTACGAAATTTTTCGATTCCAATAAATAAAACAATTAATAAGTGCGTTATATATCTGAGTTTTACATTTTTGATCCTGCTGATAACCTTTCATAAGTTATACTCATTAAATCGACATTTATTTGACAAAACTCAAAAAATGAATAAAATGAAATTGACAGAATTTCATCTGAATAATGACTGTCTCGGTCTATATTTTTTTGATAGTTAATTTGAATAGAAAATGTCAAGAAGAATTATGTCCTTGTGATTGGTGCTTTGATGGTGTTGTTAATACCATTATTAATAGTCAAATTTTTTGTCATTATTCCCACATTAAATACAGAAACTTCAGTTGGATAATGAAAACCAAGTTTTCGATAGACAATTGTTCTTACTTCTTTATTGGTAAAGAAAAGAACAAACGATTCGACAGCAACAGAAACTGTCATAAAAAATATAGATATAGAATAGAATGGCCATGGAATCTGATTAATACGATTAACTATAATAGAGATAAGATATGGTATTCCACATACAATGAGTGCAGTTACAACTATGAGAATATTACGAAATACTTTGATATTTCGTTTGTGATTGTTTCTAAGAACATGATTAACATGAATGAGATTAGTTCGTGTTGTATACCGTAGAACAATACCATAAAGAAGAACAATAATAGTGACAGGTAAGAGAAAAGCAACCATCATCAAAGTAAATGATGTATGAAACACTTTAGTCGTAAAAACACAAAAATGAGATTCAGATTCGTATTGAAAAGCAACAGGCGAGATCAATACTGGACTACCTAGAACTAGACTACATATCCAACTAAATACAATCAATAATATATTTGTACGATAAGTGTGTAGTTTTTTACGTTTGTAAAGAATAATAATAAAATAACGTGAAATAGCTTGAATAAGATAAGAAAATATTTTCACTATAGAAGCGAAGAATAATAGAAAAGCACGAATTCGACAAGATGTTGTCACCAGATTGTTAGTAGGTTGCTGTTGGTTTTGAAAAATATTCGGTATTTGAATGGCAATAGTAACATTAAAGAAGAGAAAAGCAACACAAGAATTACAAGTAAGAAGATTCCAAATAGATCGACAATGTGGATGCCAATAATAAATGATTGTTGTTAACATTACCAAGGAAAAGATCATTGTGATTAGGACAACAATGGTATAAAGAATACCGAAAAGAATAAAGAAAAGACGATCACTTTCCATGTAATTTTCAATGATTAGTTGCCTTTAAATTAATTGATCAAATGGTAAACAGTGATTTTATACTCTTAACTGAATATTTCAATTACTGACATAAGAAGAATATTATCAACAAAAGAATTATATTACATTAATTAGTTTCATATGTTTTGATCCTAATGGTAATAGTAGATTTTTAAAGGATCAAAAAGAATTTCATTATATGTATTAAACTGTAATTCAGATATTCTGCAAAAATATGTTTACAGTCTAAAATGACAAAGGTCAAATATATGTTAAATAGATATTAAAGTACAAAAAAATTAACTGCTAGATATAATGTTTTATAAACGTATCTTTTGATATTTGTGAAGAGAGATACGCTTCAAGAAAAGGTTGTGTCTGATAGTAAATTTTTTTTTTTGCACTCCACTGTATCGAACTTCATCGATGCTTTTCTAATTGATGTTTATCATTCAATGGGCAGTCGAGTTTGAAAAAGACTTGGTTGAATATATGAAAATATCAACTCATAACAAGTTGAGAAAAATCATTGACAAATTATCTCATTTAGTCGGAAGCATCTTCATTCATACGTACAGAAAACACAATGAAATTATATTCAAGAACTTGATATAAACAGCATTGAGATTAGGTTTTTTGAGAATTAATAACTACATACACTACTGAATGATTTTTACTTATGAATTTGAACCAGTATTCAACTAGAAGAGTGAATAGAAAAAGTCTGTTAAATCATTCTGTGATATGATTTACTTCTTAGGAAACATAAAATATTCTTCTTCCACTTATAAATATTAATATGAGCTCCAATGAAATCTATTCATACTTGGCATCTTGGCATGATCTCAGTCTTGAAGAACAACAGAATTCAATTAAAGAGAAAGAATGTAGTCTATTATATTGTTCAGGGAGCCGTACTAAACTCGCTTACAACATCCGTCTAACTTTGTCTAGTCGAGCTGGGATTTTTACCACAAATACTTATAAGTATTCTTCACACGTCAAATCATTCGTTTCTATTTTTGCTCTTTTCATTCAGATCGATAAGTTTCTAAATAGGAACACTCTAAGTTTGGATTCGACCCTTTTACGTATTTCTCTCATAAAAAAAAGAAGAAATCGAGGTCTTTGATAAACCTTAAAACTACCTCTTATGAGGGAACCGTTTCAAGTGGTAAATCGTTTTTGAGTTCCGACATTGTGCATAAAGTGGACTCCAGTAACATATGAAAAACTTCAAAAGCTCAACTGCTTTTAGTCCTTTCCGCCAGAGTTATAGCCATTTTACCGGAATTTTAACCGCTAGGACGAGTGCG